ATAAATTTTAAAAAATGTGGAGAAAAGAAGAAATAATGAATTGAAGAGAAAATAGAGAGATAAAAAGGAGTAAACAAACAATTTGATTTGAATTTTGTAACCTGTCAATCTAATAAGTAAATTTTCGGTTTTGGAAGATTAATCTACAACATAATTTTTTCGTTTACCTACGATGACCCCTCAAACAATCCGATCGGAGCAACCGCCCACTGCTGCCAACCGTCCTCGCCGTTGTCCATCCTTCCCTTTGCGCCCAACGCCGCGAGTGCCTCTCGGAGGCTCGCCGCAGGAGCCCCCAAGAGAACTTCAGAGTGCGGTGGGCCGCTTAGACGCGCTCAATAACCGCGGACAAAGCGGCTACCTGCCGGCCCCGGCGCGCGCGCGCGTGCGAATCGACTGCCGCGTGCCCTGCCCGAAATAAGCACCCCCACCCCGCACCCTCCCTCTCCCGGGCGGCGTACCCCGCCACATGCAGCTGTCAACATTCTTACCAAGCTTAACCGCCAAATCTGCCAGGGGAGGCGATGCGCGCCGCAGATAACGGAAGATTAGGGTCTCGCAGAGGATCCATTTGATACGCGCGCGGTAGGCGGGGAGGTATGTCGGCGGCCGCGCCCCGCTCGGGGGTGGACAAAGCGCGAGTCGAGCCGCCCCGAACGAGGACCTTGGGGGACACCAGGAAATGCATCCGGACGCATCATGCTTTGGGAATTGCATCCACATACTAGTGTTGGCTGCAATGCGAAATAACGTGCATCTTTTTGAGTCGCAGATACTGTCATTTTGGTGTCAGAACTGAGATTATTTACGCTTCCATTTGCATATTTACTAATCGATTTTGCCCGATTTTTACACAACTTGTTCTCATGTGAGCCCTAGGAATTCATACACTATACATTCTGCATTTATGGTACGAGAGGGGCCGCGTATCGCCAGCCTCCTTTTTAACAACAACAACAACAACAACAACAATAATAATAATAATAATAATAATAATAATAATAATAATAATAATAATAATAACTCTCACACAAGTATAAATTCTAGCAATTCACAATTAATTCATTAAAATTATAATTTTCATAGAACCGAAATCCATAGATATAAACTGTTATAGAATTGGCACCCCTTGTAAGGGCTACTCTGTTCCCAGCAGTGACCAAATTGAGACATTTGGAGGACTGTTGGGTTGGAGACATTTAAATCACTTGCCCAATAGAGAGGGCTTTTGTGGTCGAAAGAGAGGTAGTGGTTGGTCTCGAGTTTTCAGAAGGGACTTTGGATGTTACAAATTGGTCACGGATAGTTCACGGCAATTTTCCGCCTTCATTGCAATTAATAACTTTAAAACAAAGATACCAAGACCGATGTTGTATCGTCGAATCACTTAAAACCTGCTAAGGATTATCAATAATGTAATATGTGATAAATGATGCAATACGGCTTATAATTTACAAAAAAACAACACAATAATAGTTGTCAATTCAAAGACACCAATTTCTTCAAATTGACTCTGAATATTTCCATTTTTTAACTTGACGTAATTGTAAAAGGAAGATAATGGTAAAATGACATGTGTAAGACCACGCATTTAAATAATTGTCTTGAATTTGTGTAATCAATTTAAATGGTGAAAATTGGAAGTAGTTAACTTTTAAATAGGTCCAAGAGATTTATCTATCTAATGAAACATAAGGACACATTTGACAGTATTTCTTCACATAGCTGTATTAGTTCACACTGTGTTTCTTCACATATGTACTCATATATAATGTTTTGTACAACATTATTTTAATATTTGCCTTTAGAAAACTTCATCTGATCTTTCCGTAAGTTCATTATACCGTAAGTGAGTAACGCAAATCCACGCGAAATCCAGTTAAAGAGTCATCACATTGGGATGAAATCCTATGGCTTTCCTAATCCATGCGCGACAGTATCTCCATCTTGCGGACTTATGTTTGCGAACTTAAAACCAGTACCAAAAACATCCGGCAGATAGTCAGGGACCCTGTTTTTCGTTGCTAAGACCTTCAGCGTGGATGAGCCGAACCGTAAAGGAATGTTGAAGGTTGCGAAGAATCTGTCCTCTTTATGTCAATCATTCTAAGAGAAAAGAAATGTAACTCTTTCTACCATAAAAGGGATGTAGTCTATATAAAAATATTACTGATATGTTCACGTTCTTGCGTAAAAAAAATAAATCTTAATTACTATGCTATTTTTTCTGTAGCAGGAAACCGTTCAAGGTTTAGTTTGTCGTACAGGACCTTACGGATGTTTCTAGTACAGAAACATTTCGGTCATTATTAGCAAACCATGTTTTCGGTAGTTATTATTTCGTTCAAACCATGTTTTTGGTCATCATTTTCATAATATTTCATTACTAAAATTATTTTTGGTACGTACATTCATTTTCACTTAACTGATCTAATGATTCTGCCTTCTCTGATTCATGCTTCTTTGAATGTTTCTTGTAAAGAGTGTCAACATTATTAATTCCTTGTTCGTAGTTATGTTAAAGTTGCGTAATTGCGCATTCGCCTGTATAAAGAAACAAGAAATATATGCAATTACGTAACACTCAAACAAAGTGAGTCATTTGATCTGAAAAAACACACCAGTGGGTTCCTCAAGATATTAGCAACAAATAATTTCTGTATTCTTTCGGCTCAGAAACATACATTTTCGAATAATGATATAATTGAAGACTTGAAGTAAAAAAGGATGTGAGTTCTTTTTATAGAAAATTTAGGTTTTTACCAGAATAATGATGAATGATTCAAGCCTTTAATACATAAAAAATAATCGAAGTCCACGCGCATTTATTGATAGTGTTACCAGGTGATCGTAAATGGCAGGAGATGTACGTGCAATTTGGTTTAACGTATATATAAACTCCATTTCTCAAAAGTATGAAAATAGGAATAGGAAAATAGAAATCGTTTTTTATTTCAAGTCTTCAATGTTCTTCTTTCGTTTCCGGCGAGACCATAAGGCCGCGTGAGATAAAGAGCTGACATAAAATGCACCCCATTTCTGCCAACACTGAAATTTTCGTTTTTCTTGGTTGGTATCCGAATATTTGCGTATATTTTCTTAGATAATACTTTGAAATTCGAGTATCGTCTCCTCAGCCCTTCCATTCACTTTCAAGCACATCCGCCCGGACATTACAGAAGAAGAGTAATCTTTAAGGAACCGCTGTGCAGTTGCGAAGTGTCTAATTGGAGAGACCGTACTGTAAACTAAACCCCTGACGCGCTGTAGGTATTACGTAATGCTTACTTCCACGCAGAGATACCCATTCCGCTCTTCCACAGGCGCGTGCCTAATTGGCGACAAAAGAATGGTTCAGAGCGCCAATTTTCTGCGTGTCCAAAAATAACTTGCCTTCCGCAACCTTGGGCACTTGCGGGAAAGTGAATGGAACAGGAAGAAAGACGCAGGAGTCCTCCAATTAGAGCTGCTCTACCAAGAATGGCAAAGCGTCTCCCCTTTTGGCAAAATGGCGTATTCCTGCAGAGATGATTGCACGTGAAAGTTACACGCAAAACAAATCAGCAGGCAAAATAGCAGTGGCCTGTGACATAATTACTGGTGTCATCACAAGATTTTCAACTCAAATGAGTAACTACCGAAACAAGGGAATATATTTTAAATATGAATGTACATTTTTTGCGAAAATATGAAGCATGAAGCAGCTTTAACCAGTTTATTAACTGAATAAGTGCTGTGAGTAATTTGCATTATTAAATATTCTTTGCACCTATTTGTAAAACAGTTTAAATCTCGTGAATCCATGAAGCAGCTTTAACCAGTTTATTAACTGAATACGTGCTGTGAGTGATAGTGTTTGTAAATAAGAGTAAATAAGTGTTAATGGGCAACTGAATGTCAAATAATAAAAAGAAATATAAATTAAATCCTGTAAATTACATTTAAAAATTTGCCAAGCCAAAACCTCAGAAAAGCCAAAACGTAAATTCGACAGGTAGGTTTGCGAATTGGTAGGTTGGCGCCTAGTTTTTAACACATGTCATAAATATTGTTTTAAAGATGTATTCTAGTTGATTTGTTAATTTTTTCCCCTAAGAAAACTCATCGTGTAACCAAAGTGTTAATCTCCAATTTTTCGACGATTCTGATGTTTCCTCTATACTGCATATAGGAGAAAAATCCATCAAAACCATTAAAATCTCGAACTTAAATTTTTGAACTTTTTGCAAATACTTTTTCTTTGCACTATTTTGGTCTTAGAGCCGACGAAAAGTAACAAAACTGTTGTTACGACTGAAATCTTGAACTTCATCTCAAGTTGAAGGTAACAAAATAAATTTGACCACAAAAATATCGACGTCAAGAGTTCGATCCGAATCGAAATCTGTTCCTCACATACTCGAAAAAAGGGACGAAACTGGTTTGGCACCTGAAATCTCGGCATCGAATTTTCGAAGAGAATCCAATACTTTTAATTTTTAGTATGTACAGCCGAGAAAAAATGTGAAGGAAGAAATAGGCTGGGATTGCTCGGTGAGAACAACCGTTACAACTTTAGCGTTTCTTAGCGGAAGGTCACAGGTTAAGAGTTACGATGCTGGTGAATTTTCGACATTAGCTAGATAGCTAGTGCGCGATCTTTCTTTCTTCTTTCTTGTATGCCCACCCCTAACTTTCCCACACTTTCACTTAAATGCACTACCCTACCACACATGTCGGGAGACCAGTCGAGAGCTTACAGCCAGCTCCGGCTGGGGGGTGCCACACTAGAGAAGATAACTGGAGGGAGCATCCCACAAGCTCACGTGTAGGTCGGAACCGGATCGCACGTTCTAGTGCGTTACCAACCCTACCACCGGCCTAGATATAACATGTACTACACTTACGGAACCACATGAGTTGACACGCTCGGAAACAAATAATCAAGCAACGCAGGCACAATAACAGGCAGAATAGATAAATTACAGAAAAAACAGAGAGAAAGAGAGGGCGATGCTCACCGACGTGCACAAAACTGCGCACGGTGTTGGCGTGGCGCGTGAGCCGGCCGGGCAGCGGTAGCGCCGCCGAGTCCAGCCCGCTGGCGCGCTGGCGCTGGTAGAGGTCGAGCATGGCCTGCGGCACGTGCGGCGGGTCGGCGCCGCGGCGGCGGGGGCGTGGCCGGCGCCGAAGCCCCAGCAGCGCCAGCAGGCCCTCCTCGGCGGCGCGCACCTCGGGGGCGGCGGGGGCGGCGGCGGCGACGAGGGCGGGCGCGGGCGCGGGCGCGGGCGGCGATAGCAGGAGCACCAGCAGCGGGAGCAGCAGCTGGCTCGCCAGCATCCTCCCCTCGGCGCCTCCTCACGCACCTGGCGAGCAACGGGCGCTTATTGGTTTACTACGTCGTCTACTAACTAGTATGTTCATTGCTAACAAAGAATGTGTGAACAAAAAGGCGGCTCCACACATTCGGTATTCGAGTAGCGAGCGACCGCTCGCCGAATCCCGAACAGTGCGGAAGGATTGCTTGCTATTTGCCGAGTATTCGGTGCTCGCCCTATCCACCTCGTGTCGGTCTTTTACACACATCAAAGCTAGCGAACATGCGCTGAGCACATCAGCTGTTCGGGCTTGGGCGACCAGTCGCTCGCTACTCGGCGAATGCCGAATGTGTGGAGTCGCTTTAATAATAACATGAGAGAAATTCATGAAATGTTAAAATTGATATCAAAACATAGAATTCAACTTTCGCACAAATTTGATTTTGAATGTACATCAATATTAGAAAGAGAGCCAAGAATATACTAGCTAGAATAATTTCTGAAACCTTATTTATACTAACTTATAACACGATAAATTCAATGAAGAGTGCAATGTTTTTACTACTAAATATGATCATATTTTGAATAAACGAAAAAGTTTTAAAACATTATAACCAGTGTACCTGATGATGCGAACAATTAACTCGTAATACTTGAAATACATATCAAGTTGTTTCTATAAAATTACACCAAATTCAATCTACTGATTATTTTTTAAATAACTAAAATGATTGTCTTAAAAATTAAAATGCTGAAAATCGATAGGAGTTATAGTTTTATTGGTGATGTGTTGGTGTCCTAAATATTTAAATGATGGACATGGAAATTGCCATTTTTTTTGTTCAAAATGTTGACAATGGTATCGACTTTCTTTTACATGAGGATTGGATATGTTGGCAATACTTATTAGTGTCCAAAGATTTTTTTTGCAGTTTAATGATCCAATGAATTCTTAAGAGCGGAAGCAGTGCTCCGGGATTTATTCACAATAATTTATTTTTACTTATTCTACAATTTCAATCTCTGACCTGAAAAAATCAAAATCAAAACTCTGTGACGTAATTAACACTAGCATCATATATTGTACGTGAATAAATCAAAAACTGGAACTGACCTCCATTTAGAATTGAATTAGTCTGATGCATGACGAGATTTTAAATAACCATTGGAACCCCAGGGATGGCATTGATATCAATGGAATTGATACCAAATTTGAAAAAAATTACAACAGAAGTTGAAAAACCACAGCAACCACATGTGCGATGTTAATTGACAACAGAGATTGCCTAAACCAAAGCAAAAATAGAAGCTTGATGACAGACGAATTGACATGTAAACATAGTCCATGCTGTATTCTGGGTGGTGGTGATTTTCACTCCCCCAATGGAATATGGGATCGGATACCGCCACACACACTGAATTGAGGGCGCTTTCCTATCCAGGCATCTTCCCCACTGCCGCAGCCGGAGCAGCTCTAAGCTCCTTTCATGTGCGAATGAGTAGTTCATGAAAGTGTGTGTGTGTGTGTGTGTGTGTGTGTGTGTGTGTGTGTGTGTGCGCGCGCGCGCGCGTGCGCGCGAACAGACGGAAACAATGTTGAGGAAGGAAGAATTGCATATGATCCTGGCTAGTTTCTGAAGGAACAGTTCCAGCATTCTCCTGGCATTGATTGACGAAACCACGAAAATAACCCAATTAGAACACCCTTCCCCTCGAATTCTCTTTAAGACAGAAGCAGCTCTATAGCTAGAAATGAAAATTCGCCACCGCCGTGTCTCGAACCAAAGAACCTTCCTCCCCAACGATGTTCCAGATGCAACGGTGCTTCCATTGAGCCATTGCTACTAGTCGGGAGGCTGGAGGCAGAAGAGGCTGCCAGAGCAAGGCGAGAGGTAGGCAGGGGGGGGGGAGGGTTGGGCGAGGAGGTGCAACCGCAAATGAGGTAACTCGAGCCAGGCGATCTGCGGCTGAGTCACACGACGTAAGACGTCAGGCCTCCTCCACCGCCGCGGCGCCTGCACCAGCTCGCCAACGGAGGCCGAGTATTTTTACTTTCTTGCTACCGCTTATGCAGTCGAGCGAAAGTTATGTAATGCTGCGCGAAAAAGCGGCCAAATTATGGAAGAAAAACTCTTATTACAGGGCCCTGATAACAAAAAAGGGGATAAAGCTAGTTGCTAAATTTAAAAGAAAAAACACTACCCCGTGGTGTAACCAGAATCCATGTTTTGTGGGTCCTAGATATCGAAAAATATAAACTCGGCAAAACGTGTGCCTGTCCGACCCTCCGTCTGTCTGTCTGTCGGTAAATAACGCCAGCAGCTCAACCGTGCAACCGATTTTCTCCCAAATTGATAAATCCTAATGGATCTGGCTGACATCGTGACCCCTTAAATTTGAAACTGATATTTTAATTTTTGGGGGGCACTTTACAAGAAGTCCATAAGACATTTTCAAATTTTTCAAAAAATGACTCCATCATTTTTTATTAAATTTTGCTGTTGGATACTGTGGACGTTTAAGAGAATAGGGTTGTTGAAAACTCATTTTTCTACAATTACAAAAACTCAAATTTTTTCGGCGTCTTCCTTCAACTACAGTTATAAAGATAGAAATGAAATCTGTGCCTTAATGATAAATTTTAAAATAAGGCCATGAATAATTTTTCAAAAATTTGAGTATTTTTTGCGTGGAAGTACGAGCGAGAAAGTATGTGTTGTTTTAGCACCACTAGTTTTCTGACACACAGGTATAACATTTTGATAAAAAGAACACACGTGGAGTGCGGGTGTTTAATTAAGTAGGCGTACTTAAATAATTGTTCGCTAGAGTGATGAATCAAGGTAATCCGGTTCTAAATTAAGATATAAAATACGTTGGAAAGGTTGGTGTTGACTGAACTCAGCGAAGTTTTATATTATTCGGTAAGGGTGATGGCCGGAATCTTGCCGTTGACTTGAAAATGCGCGAAACAAGAGAGTAAAACTGGCCGTATCAAATTAGCATTCTCAAAGATTCTAAAAGATTCTCAAGCCTAAATGACGCCTCTGAGCTAAATTCAAAAATCGCCTGTTTCTCGCCCAAGATATACCTCTTCCTCTGCTAGTTGGTGAAAGGAGCGCAGCGAAATTTGCGTGGTCAGACGGAAGAGCAGGCCCGATGGCCCGAGTCTCGCCACGTAAAATAAGACATTAATTCAATCCAATTCAATTCAATTAGCTGTTTTCTGAATTACTATTTCACATAAATTGGATATGCAGAGAGATAACAATTATAATTAATTGGAGAAATTACGATTGAAACGGTTAACAAAGACTTCCAACTTAACGCAAATCCCGGAATGAATCCGCAGGGGAAGGCTACTCAGCACCGACCAGAAGCCCCGGGATCGTGGCGCCGGCCGCGAGAGCAACGCGGCGTGAACGAGCTCTTAGCCGCCGCCTGCGCCGGTGACGCGAACACCCTTTGAGTCGCGTCATTAGTATTCTTCGCGTGTCGAAGAAGATTAAAGAGGGCGCTCTTTATCGCCGTGGAATTCTCTGGGCCGCGCCAGGCCATCCCTGAGGAGCATTCCTGCGGCGAGAGCCTTCCCGTCCCTTCCACACTCCACCCTCCACCCTCCACGCTCGCAGACGCCAGTCATCCCCATCGTTCCACAGGAGGTGGAGGAGGACTCCCAGGACGACCCCGACGAAATTACCGGCTGCACAACGAGCGCTGGCTTGTAATTTAATGGGAATTCTTTCTGGTTCGAATTTTGTGGGTAAATGATTGGCATTACTATCACTACCGGAGGACGTTGGGTCGTTGGTTAGGGGCATGACGAAGTTTATTGCTTTTAAGATAATCGTTCTGGAAAATATGATACAATTTAATATTATATAGTATATATTTTAATACAAAACATATTAAAATGTAAATAGTATACATGTTATTTGTTTTCTTTTTTCGAATACTGTCACGCTAATGATTGCGGCAGAATGTGAGAAAAGACTGATGTTCACAACCTTCAAATAATTAACACCTTATTTTTTTGTATTTATGTGTCGCACGTCAATATCAACTCACCCCTATTTTACTATTCTCGGAAAACTACTGAAGTTCAAAGCCACTGCCCATTGCCATTGATTGAGAGAGGAGCGAAAACAAGCTGCTCAAAATGAAGCAGTAACTGGAAATATGGGAATTCCCAGGCGTCTGCTGTAGTACGGGGTTATCCGTCACAACAAACTTCCCGTCAATGAGAAAGAAGCGTTGGGTTTTTCCCGGGGTTGGAGACCGGAGCGGCGGGCGTAACTGGTACGCAGATGGAGGGAAATTACCTGCCCGTCTAATACGCAATAGTTGTTAAAACCATCTTCATTTTTGACACCTCTTTTCCGCGTATACGTTCGGATAAAAACTATTGGCGAAACTGGGAAAAATTGGAACAATCTAATGATTCACATGCTTCCTATTCTTCGTAACAAACAAATATGAAAGAAAGTTTACCAACAAATGAGTTTACGGACTAATGTAAAAATCCCAAATACTCGTTGGGTGCAGTATCAAAAATGCTGTTAAACAAAACCACACAAAATGGTTTTCCACAACGTAGCACGAACACAGTCCAAGAAGAAATAAAAAGATTTTTCGTGATTTATCTAACGAAACCGTGTAAACTGTGTTCATGGACACAGTGTGCACAGTTTGCTTTTTTTTTCTTCAATTTTTGCGCGTATTGGAAATCAGTAATACAGATGTGTTAGAGGAGGTAAATATTCAGTTATTTCTACGTAATATTCACGCGAGTCTACCTAAAAGATTTGCTGCCAATTTCCTCAATACAATCCTTAAGGAAATCGGTAAGAAAAATATTAATTTCCAAGAAATTAAATTATTTACTTTAATTTTATCTTGAAATTAGACATTACAGTTACTCAGGAAACTACAAAATTCTAATTTATGGAAGTGTGTAAAAGTGTTCGATCATTCCAATAACATTGTATTCTTTCGAACAATCAGGATATGTACCAAAATGTA